AAGTCCATCAGACGACTGCAGCTGATCCAAAACGCTGCTGCTCATGTCCTCACTAGAGCTAAGATAGTAGAGCTCATCAGCCCAGTTCTGAAGTCCCTCCACTTACTTCCTGTAGCTCAGAGAATAGACTTTAAATTCCTTCTGTTAGTCTAGAAATCACTGAATAGATCCATAACAGATCTGTTGTCAGTGGATCTACCTCCCAGACCACTCAGGTCTTCTAGTTCCAGCCTCCTCTGTCCACCCAGAACTAGAACCAAACATGGAGAAGCAGCATCTATGCTCCGCTGATCTGGAACAAACTCCCAGCAGACTGGAAAAGAGCTGAAAGCCTTAGAAGTTAGTTAGTTTAGAGCTGCCTTTGACTGATGGAGTTAAACTGTTAACTGAAGAATTATTAGTTTAAGGTTGAGGTCCAACAGTTTTATTGGATTTACAAATTTATTTGCTTTTATTTTTCTTCTATTTCATTATCTAATGCGTGTAAAGCACTTTGAATTGTCCAGGAACTGAATTGTGCTTTATTCTTTCCAAACAGCTGAACTTGTTCAGTATTTTTTATTTTTTTTGTTTTATATCAATTAACCTCTAACCTGCTAACTGGAGCCATTAATATCCAAGGCTCAGTTTGAGTTATTTTTTTAATTATTCGTCTTCGGCTACTGAAGGCTCACTTTTTCTCTGAAAATACCCTCCTTTGAAAACGTTTTGGTTTCCTTTATCATTTCTACAAAGAAGGGATTTTAATTAAATGTGACCAAATAGATGCGTTACCAGAAACAGGAGAGAACATCTAGGTTTTGATGGAATCCTGTTGTGTAAACAGGACCTGAGCTGCAGCTCCTTCTTTACTTTAACTGAATAATCCAGAATATGATCTTTTTATGCTTAGAAGTTAGAAAGTTTGGAATAGATCCGCACATCTAAGGTAATTGCTGATATCATATGTGGGAGATTAGATGCACTTATGTTTACTAAATCACATTCTTTTCCAATGCCGTTTTTTATATATATATATCTATATAAATGGAAAAAAATGTATTTTATATATTTGTTGATTATTTTCTCTCTAGTTCATCCCGTTTTGCCGGAACTCACCTCGAAGCCCAACAGCAGCAGCTCAAACAGCAGACAGCAGGCGGCGTCCAAATACTCGGAGAGCAAAGCTTGAAGCTGAAGGTTGGAACACGTAGCAGATCATTTTATAACGTATTTAAACACATTTCTGTAGTGAGAGCAGTAATTAACTCACTTCAGAGGAAGATCCAAGGCTTTGCTTCTCAACATCAGGATCGCATATTAAAGCGAGCAGCAGTCTGCAGATAAGAGCGCCTCTACAAAGGAAAAAAAAAATGCATTTTTACATTTCCTGCAAAAATTCAGTATGAAAGCTGACAGCAGTTTCTTAAAAACAATCAAATTAGACATAAATGCAGAAGAAATAAGGAGAAAGTTTCCTCTGACTTTAAAATAAAGGGAGCAGAAGCCATGAAGAACTAAATCATGAACATTGAGAAAAATTTGATTTTTATTTTTCTGGTTGAATTTATTTTAAAAAAAAGCCCTGAAATGAGCGTCTTTCATTAATTTTATTAATTTCACTCCATTTATAAAACAAAAGCGACTTAAAATCCACACTGCAAAAAACTGAAATCTAGATGAGTAATTTTTCTTGTATTGAGGAGGTAAAAGAGACATTTTGCCAATGGAACAAGACAATTTACACTTAAAATAAAGAATACACAATTGCATTGTCTTATTTCAAGTGCATATTATCTACTCCATTGGCAAATCATCTCATTTACCTGCTCAAATTAAGGGTAATTACACTTAATTTAAGACATTTTTACTTATTTCTAGATCGTTTTTGCATTGACACCGTTTGTAAAAACATAATTAAATGCAGAAAGGAAATAAAGACATGACAGTACGCTGTATATCAAGGCGCCATGAAACAGTTTTTTTTTGTATTTACTTTTTAGAAAACAGCAGGATGCTTCTGGCTGCTTCCACCTCCGTCTCTCTGAACATGATGGCGATCGTCTGGACGATCAGCGTGCTCAGCCTGAACAGGATCAGCAGCGTTAAAAACAAGTTTATTCTGAAACAGTCATCTAATCTCAGAGTAGTTCAAACCTGAACCGTATGGTTTTTATTAACTAGAATGAAATAAGCTGTTTTCTTCTGGATGCATTTAATCCCAGCCACCCCACACCTCACCACTGTCTCACTCCTAACATCCCTCTATTCTAGTCTTGAAATTACAGTTTTATTCTTTAATAAAAATCAACAAAAGTCATTGCTGAAGAATTCAAATGCACAGAGGTTTGCGCCCAAGCATATCAATGAA